ATATGAATGAATATAATATAACATAACAAAACTGTCCTTTAGAGATTTGCTCGTTTTTGCTTCACTTTGGAGAAAATCGTAATACCCTTATTATACGTTACAATCATCCTTTTCATCATGACCTATTTTATCATCCGCATTATCATCTTATAGTATCAAATATCTGTTATCATCTATATCATCTTTTATTTAATAAAAATATTATTTCAGAAGGTTGATCATTTGCAGCTATATATCGAACATTAACCACCCTAATTATAGCTGGATATTATTCTGGTGATGTTTGGAACACTATACCTCTCCAGTTACTCTCTTAAATTAATTGGAATCGAATAAATTTACTGAACAAGCGAAGAAACTAAACCTTTTTCTTTCTTGCGATTTTCTCTAATATGGATAAGAAACGTGCTGATCTCTAAAGGACTTGTTTTCTCAGTTTTTCTCGAAGCATCGACGTTTACACACCCCGCGCATAATATTTACAATTACATTCACATTTTCAATTTATATCTTTCTCAACTACTTTTTCCAGCGAGATTTTTAATAAATCACGCGCACGAAATATTCATTCATATTACACAAATCGAAATATAACTATAATTATCAATATAAATTACAGGTATAATTAACAAAAATATTATTCAAATATATCGATATACAATATAATCATATATTCAAAATATAATATAATAAATATAATAAAATATTATATTATATCTCGTGTTATATAATATTTCCATTACTTCCGCGAGTCGGTGTGTCTGTGTGTGCGTGTGTGTTCGTCCTAAAATTTTCCTGAGAACAGGGATGACAAAGCCCGAGGCTCGCAGGAAGAGCGACACGTTTCAAGAGATTCCACGAGAATCGTGGGCGGTTCGTTTACTCTTGAACGGTCACGTCCTTAGGCGAGGGCGAATCGGGCGCGAACGAGTGGGCCGCGGCCGATCGTGAATACACGGAAAGCCATAAGCCGTGTGTGGTGTACAATGGGCCGCGCGCTAATGAAACGCGACGGGCCAGCGCGAAGTCACGTCCGATCCTATGGCGTTAGATGAACGAGCGACGCAGCTTCTTCCACGATGACAGTGCAACTGACATTCGGACGGCTCGCGACCGGTTTCCGTGTCGTAACATCCCGATTTTGAAAGACGTTCCTCTTGAAAGCCGTCATTTTTGGCGGTCCTTCTCGCCCGTTTTTTTGTTTTTTATCTCTCAGTGAAACGATTTTTTTTTTTTTTTTTTTTGAAGAAGAAGAAGAAGAAGACAGGAAATGATGATAATTATTTATGATGATAATCGAACTGCACACGTACAACTGGATCTTGCATTAATCCAAGAGAAAGCATATCAGGCGATGAGACGACGAAAAATTTTATAGCGCCCATTGATCATTGAGACTGTTCTTTTACGTAATAAATATCCGCATTTGAAAACTGTTTTATTTCATTACTTCATGTTTAATATCAATTTCAAAGTTAGTTTGTGATTTATGACAAATTTGACTCTTTCAGACCGATTGTCCGAACGGATAATGATTGAATGATATAAAACAAAAATAACTTTTACAAACAAATGTTTTTTTTAAACTTTGTATTATTTCATTTGTAAATATAATTAATAAAAAAAAAAGAAAAAAAAGAAAAAATAAGAAAGATTGAAAACGAACAAGTTTATGATACTTTCTCAAACCTTCTTTTCAGTTTTTCAAGTAGCCACCCTGTATCTTTCAATAATAATCGACGTTCTACCGCGCCTAAATTTCAAATCTCCTTCAAAACTATCCGATCATAGTGCCGTTAATCCATCGCAATGGACGTTTCGATTAGAACGGTCGGCGAAGAACAATTACGTTCGCAATTCGAGCGACGCGAGGAATTCGTTTCATCGTCCCGGGCCGCGACGCGACGCGGCGAAATTAAAGAGAAACGGGAGAGCTCGCGCGATACCAGTTCACCTACGCGCTCGGTGCCGCGTTACGTAAGCTCGTTCGTTCCACGGAGGAGAGGAGACAAATACCATAAGTCAGCGGTGCAAACACGCCGCTAATGGCACGCGGTGCTGGTGGGTGGCGAAGGGTTTTCGGCGCTGTGCAAACCTGTCGGCGGCGGAACCAAAGGGCGCCGGAAGACGCAGGACGCGACGCGTGGGAGGACACCGCGAAAAGAGATCGGCGAAAAAAGTCACGGAACGTCTTGGTACCACCACTCATTCGGCAACGTCTCGTTTCATTCGGCCTCGACGAAAGTTCGAGCCGACAAATTTTTACATTGTTCTGTGATGTCAAAAATTTCCGTCAAATATTATTCACTGTGAGATGGCGAGGTGAGATTAAAACGAATCATTTAGTGCCATTAATTAATTTATTATTAATAAATTATTAAGTAATATTGAATATATGAACGAACGATTGTGATCGTTCTTGCCAGGTCGGATTCCTTCCTGAAATTTACGAGAATCATCGAGAAGTTTCGTTCGATAGAGAAACAAATCTTCTCTCGGATCGAATTTTTCGATCGTTTATATAAATTATAGGAGAGGAAGGATGGTACTATTGATTCTTTTTCTTCTTTTGTATTTTTTAATGTTACTTGGAGTTCTTTCACATCGCTGACTGAACGGCGGGACAAAAATGTAAATCTTGCCAAGATAAATTTATTTCAATATTACTTAATAATTTATTAATAATAAATTAATTAATGACACTGAATGATTCGTTTTAATCTCACCTCGCCATCTCACGGTGAATAATATTTGATGGAAATCTCTGACATCACAGTAAATCTTGTGAAAATGAAACAACATCCGAAGAACTGCGTGAAATGAGGGGCACGATTAATGTTACGACTATGAAAGAGCGACAGTCATTAACATAAAATTGATCGACGATGTATTAGAACTGCTCCTGAAAAAGACGGAAGATATACAACTTGTAGTCTTTCCTCTGTTACTCCTTTTTCAAGAAGCATGCACACATGTACCAAGATAGTAAACGAGATCGGAAATATTATTATACGAGCGAGAAGCTTGTTGTAATAGTCCAGGATTCGCTATTCATTCGACGCGGGGTGTCCCAACTTGAGAGACAACTCGAGACGTAAAAAGCTGACAAGCGTCACGGATAAAAGCACAGGCAACATCGTACGCTCGACACCGAGACGCAAGTTCGAGTATTATTCTTGCGTCATTGCTTTAAATAAACCTCGCGAGTCTTGACTCGATCGAATCGAAGAACACGTACGTGTCGTCAACGACAACCAGCAACCAATTTGTTGCTCGAGGCAAGCGAGAGAGAGAGAATTAATTTCGTTCGTTCGGACTAGTGGAGTCAGTCGGCGCGATACGAGAAACGGTTTCGCGTAATTGTCGAGCTATCGCGCGCGAGCGTGTCGGACGACACTCTCTAATCGAACTCGGGTTCTCGAAACGCGGACGCAATCGCCGCGATACGTGTTTATCTTCGAGTGGAAAAATAGAAACGCTGGCTCATTGGCCTCCGTAGCTCGCTCGCAGGAATTCAAACGATCAACCGCGACGCAGGACGTTTCACGTCAAACTTCCTTTTTGCGAGTCGCGTCAACGTGGAAGCTCCTCGATGGCTGGCGTGACGTGAAGTAGCCACTCGACGAGGTCGAGCGTCGCCCACGCGCCGCTTCCGACAGAATTTCAAGTTCGTCGAGGGCCTCGATAAGTCATAGGAACAGGTCCGTACGATAAACTTGTCCGTGTATCCAACTCGTGGGTGTATCCGCTGTGGACTTTTCGCGAAACGCGAATTCCATATCGTGTACATACGTATATACAGGGTGGGTCATCATATATTGCCATCTAAATTTATTATTACGCGTAGCGAAAAATGTTTCAGATGAAGTCGAATGGTTTCGAGAGAGGAGCATTTCGATTGATATTAGGTTTCTTGTAGAAATCATATATTTTTTTATTCCATAAATGGAATCATATATTTTTTATTGCATCAGTTGATGCACCTTGACATTCTTTACCAAAAAAGTATTAACCTATTTATGTTAAAAAATTAATTTAGTAAAATATTTTAATTCTAATTTTGTAAAATCTATGCGTGAGACAAAGGCGGTAAAAATATCAGAATACTATCCATCTTCTTCCATGTATTTTATGCATAGATTTTACGAAATTAAAATTAAAATATCTCCCAAACTAATGATTTTTTTTTTAACATAAACAGGTTAATATTTCTTATAATATATTTTATATATTTATAAAATATATTAATTATAAATTATATATTTCTTGTAATTCTTTTTTGTGATATGAATATATATGATTCCATTTAAAAAAACGTTAATGACCTTCATATGTCCTCTACACGTCCACCTACAAGGAAACTAGTATCATCGAAATATGCCCCTCTCGAAACCATTCAACTTCATCTGAAACATTTTTCGCTACGCGATTATTATTAATAATAATAATGACGTAAATCTATATGGCAATATGTTGTGATCCATTCTGTACATAGTTATCTAGGTATGTCGTGCGATGATCAACCAAAGTAGAAATACACGTGGGGAAATACGACGCGAACACGTGCAATTTAGATTTCGTACCAAATTGTAATATAGTTCAAAAACATTCATCCAACTGACATGTCCATAACTGTACGTTCTTGAAACACTTAAAACAAAATTCGGATATACGTAATATTTTTGCAGCGTCAAGTAGTAAAAGTGCGTATTAAAGCGGGCAGTGAAATGGACGGAATTGGAGATCGTAATTGGAGATTAAGATCGTAACTCATTGCAACATCGAGCATCTTTCCTTTCGCAAGGTAAAAACTCCAGCCGCTAACGAGATGCAAGGAAGTAACGGAAATAAAACTAGTAAGTAAAACTAGTAACTCGTTAGTTACGTTTACGACGAGTCCACGCTTGATCGAACGTGCTCGACCGCACCAAACGGTCGACGGCATTTGCTGGAATTTGTCAAGCGTGCACTCGTCTTCTCGAGAAGAGAAATTCACTCACCGAATCCCATCCGAACTTCCTCCTCGTCGTCGCTGTCGATGTGCTTGATCCCGGCGATCTCGAAGCTCCTCGTCGACTGTTCTTCCCTCGCGTTCGCCGAGGACGAACAATCGCAAGCGTCCTCCCCGTTGCCGCAAGTGCAGTCGTCACCGGCGCACCTGCAACCCAGCAGAGGGTCGTCGATGTCAATGTTCCTGCAGGCCGGACAGGGGAATGTCAAATCGTCCAGCGAGACCCTCTCGATCTTCCTCTCGACCGAGACCAAAAGATTCCCGATGAACGCCGGCAGCTCGTCGTCACCGACGTCGTCCACGTTCCGCTGGCTGTTCTGCAGCCTGTTCTCCGCGTTTCCGTCCTGCCTCTGCCCGAGCACCGCCTCGTCCAGCCGCAGCGGCGTCTTCAGATCGCCGGGCGTCAACGCTCTGCTCCTTGTCTCGCACCTGGCCGTCTCCTTCCACTTCTCCATGGTCATCGACGAGACGACCTTGGCGCACCTGTTCACTTCGCCAGCGCGGTTCTCGTCGCTGGAGAAACTAGAAGAGTGGTCGTCGGAGCCGTTCGTCTCAGCGTCCAGCAGCTCCGTAGGCTTCCACGTGCCAACGCTCGACGTTGACCTGGATTTCATGACCGCGTGGCCAGCGTCCATCGCGGTGTCCTCTGTGCGGCGGCGATTCTCGTTCGAGCTGTTGCACTCGAGTCGGTCGATCGAACGGGTCTCCTCGCGGCGGTGCTCGAACGCGCAGCCCTGCTCTCGCGTCCTCGAGCGCGCTTCCTCGCGCGAGCGTCGCCTGGGCCGCATACTCCTCGCGGTGCTCGACGATTGCAGCCCGGCCACCAGGTTGCTGCTCGCCGCACCGGTGCTCCCCTGCCCCTTTCGAGACACCTCCCGCCAGTCCATGAACTCCTCCTCGCGGTCCCAGCCGAGGAATCCTGGGGCCCTCATCGACGTCGTTCGCCAAACTACTGCGATCTGCGCACACCAGGGTTGATATTTATGCATCGCGCGCGTGACAGAGACGTGACGTCCGGACGACGGCGAAGATCGAACGGCGAAGTGGAAAGGGGTGCAGATAGAGAAGGTGAAAGTTGCGAGCTGTGCCGAGTGGCGGGAGAGACTACTACCACGCTCGAACGCGTGGATTGTTACAACGTGCAACTGTACAGGGTGTTTCTTTTTCGGGTGACGCAGTGGGCGATCGATTGACGAACGAACAGTTCGGAAAGACTTTCACGAACGATTTTTATGTTCAGAAAAAAAAAAAAGAAAAAAAACACGTGTTTGGAACATCTTACGAATATTTTACACTGCGACGCTGTGTGCGAGACTTGCAGGACTGTATTTTACTGCCATTTATGAACAATTTGAGTAGATTATGTTCGTTAACCGATCCACCACTGTAATTTTCTCTTATTCGACAAAGTAGAACAGTTGATAAGTTTATCAAGTCATTCTCTATCAATTAATTATCATCGATTGATAATAATAAACGAATAGAATTAATTCTTCAATATATCACAGTACAGAATTGTGTTTAACTTCTCTTTAGACTACAATGAATAATTACCTTGTTACTTTTAACCTCTTGCGCTAGAACGGCGTGCCAGGCACGTCGAGAACCTTTAGTCACAAAATTGCGATATTTCCTCAGTTTTAGATACATTTCGATATAATTCCAGGCAAAACGAATAATAAATTACCTATTAATAATTCCAATCCGGTGATATCGTACCAACGAGTTTGGTCACTCGTTATGGTCCGCGAACCAGCAGCTGCCAGCGCAAGTGGTTAAACTCTTTAGTTTAGACAAGTTCTTGAATATTCATCGGCAGAGAATCCAATTTGTCGCGGAGGGACCTATCGGTTTTGTAATCACGAAATTCCGATCGGTTTTGTAATTACGAAATTCCGCGGAAATCGGAAATCGCGAGCCGGCTGAGAAACGAGACGAAACCGACGACGGAAAACGTGAACTCACCTCGACGGTATTTCGCTCGTCGGTTTCACCAGCGGCAACTTCGCCGCTCCCCGAGGTGGTTGCAACTGCAGCCGAGCTGCGTATGCAGAGGTAACATTCCCCGAGACGTAGCGCGGAGGCTTCGAGCTCTCCTAGCTGCAGGACGAGGCCACGTCTGCCCAACGTCAGAGGCCAGCCTTCCGGTACCACCGACTCGTTCCCCTGCAACGGAATCATGCTCATTATCCTGCTGGTTCGCATAACCGGCCAATGTTATTCAAGGTTGCAGAAAATTTATTCGTAGAGGAATAACAAAGTCGCGAGGAATAAAAAAAATTGGTCGTACAAGAGAAAACACATGTACTTTTCTATATTTATTGCAATGAAAATTTCTTTAAATTTCTTTAAATGCTCGCGTTACTCACGTGGTAAATATTCGTGAAACAAAATTGCACAATAAATGAGAGTTCATTTGAATTTCGAATCCTCTATTGTCAAAACATTTTATTTCGATGATTCGTTTTATTCCAAAATACTTTTCAACCACAATGGAAAATTGTTGCGGTATGTAAAGACATTGAGAAATTGTTTTAACGATAGATTTAAAGATCGAGCAAAAGTCGTACATCAAGTATTAGTGGGTCACTTTAAAGGGAAAGCTTGGAACTCATCGTAGACTCAGTTATGAAAAATATTTTCTCATAATTGTTAGACACTGTGACAATTAAAAGTCATTAACAAAGTATCTTCATTCACTCATTCGCTACGCGAAAAACAGTTTAGGACAAACGGTGCGTATAAACGATGAGAATAAACGTTCCTCGCTTCAAAGCCAAGTTCCATGAGTATATTGTACCGATTTCCTTCTACAAAGTTGTGACCGTTTATACCTAGTGTCCGAATATGAACGCGAATGTAAATGAACAAATGACACGTTCTCATCCTTTAAATTACAGAGGAAAAAATATCTTGAAAGCACTACATTTGCGGCCACTTTGCTCGAGTTACAACAGTGACAATCACGTAAAGAAAAATAATTACGACTTTCGAAACAAACCAGCGGCACAAAACCCACGCGGAGAGTTACGATTATTTATCGCGGCCATACTAACTTACCCTATAATTTGCGAAAGCATAAAACACCCACAAACGCGTTCCAATTACTTTCTCGTGAGCGCAGTAGGAGGGAGTAGGCTCACATTGGTTTACGATGCTCGTAAACACGCGAAACAGTGATTCTCGGTCCCCTTGTTTCTCACGTCAATTGGATCGTCCAGCGGCCGCAGTTCAGAGGGAACGATGAAAAGGGCCTCGAACAATCGGGACGATTAATTAAAAGCAAGCCGGAAGCTCCGCGGCTAATGAAATTCCTCTAAATAAGTTACACCAGAGAAAGGGAGGGTAATTGCAGAGCCAAGCCCCGGCCAGAGGGAACGTTAATCACCGGTGATTAGAGGGTAATCAACGCGGATACGCCCAAAATTGTGTAGACGTGCGCTCGTGGAGCGAAGTACGTCGTACCGTGTCCCACGGTCTGACCTGCTTCTGCCTGACGAGAGTCTAGAGTTTCGTTGGATTCCAAATTGCGTTTGCCGACTGGAGAGCGGAATGAAATGCGCGTTGTCTGGTTTTTTTTTTTTTTTTTTATATACAGGGTGTTTCGTAACTTGTGGGACTTCGGGAGCTGATTGTACGCTTAAAAATAATGAAAAAAAGTCATATAAATATATGTCCTGTCTGTCTTCGTTTATGAGATGTAATGAATTTTCTGTTTTAATTATTTTTACAAAAGATGCTCGAAACGAATACGTTGCATTTGAAGACAAGCCTGCACGCGTTTTGTCATTGATCTGGTTACTCTCTCTATCATTCCTGGTGTTTCTCGAATTTATCGGAAGCCTTGCTGTATTCTATTTCGTAGTATTTCAGCATTTTCAATCGGTGTTGCGTGTACAATAGATTATTAATGTCCCCGCAAATGAAAATCTAATGGATTCAAATCCGGAGAACGAGCAGGCCATGCAAATAGGACCTCCACGACCAATCCATTTATTTGCAAAGTGTTGATTTAAAAATTGTCTAGCCACTCGGCTAAAATGCGACGGAGCTCCATCATGCATAAACCGCATGCGAAGTCTAATATCGACTGGAATTTCCTCTAATATTTCGTGTAAACGCGTGCTCAAAAAATCAACGTACTTTGTGCCTGTTAGTTTGTCATCAAGAAAAAAAGGTCCAATTAAAAATTTATCAATTATTCCGGCCCATACATTTAAATTAAATTGGTGTTGACGTCTTGAATGCACAATAACATGTGAGTTTTCTTCATCCCAATTATGATTATTATGAAAATTGAATATACCACTAGCTTACTAGAGTTTATAAAATTACTGTTTATAAAATTTATTATATCTCAGAGTTTATAAAATTACTGTTTATAAAATTTATTATATCTCAGAGTTTATAAAATTACTGTTTATAAAATTTATTATATCTCATAAACGAAGACAGATAGGACATATATTTATATGACATTTTTTCATTATTTTTAGGCGTACAATCAGCTCCCGCAGAGTGAATCCTACAAGTTACGTAACACTCTGTATAAGCAAGAGCAGAATATTGCAGTCAATATTAAAAATTCAATAACTGGAAATATGACAGTCAAGAATGTCATTCTGAAAGTAAATTTCAAATGAAATTTAAGACCGACGAGTTTCGAGCTGTATCACTGATTTGAAATCTTGGTGCAACTGCATTCTAATGATTTCTTCTTTCTTTCTTTCCCTTTTTCAATTGCATTCAATACAAATGAAGTGAACGATATTTGGAAATATGACAGCCACGAACACTCTGAAAGTGATGTTTAAATAAATTTTAAAAACTAGTTTTGAAATCTTGCTCGCACAGCTGCATTCCGACGATTTCTTCTTTCGTCTTTTCTTACAATTTGATAAAACCTCGAAGTGTCTCGTACAACGTAAATAAAGATTTCTGCGACAGATAAATGCTCGAATTCTTATCCGGTTATGGTATAAAAGTGTTTCGCAACGCGGGCACTGATCGTTTAAGCTGTACGCGTGAAAAGTTCGAACGATTACGCCGAGGTCCAAGGTGATCTGTTCGAGCCGCTCGCGCGAGAACAGAAACGCAGAGAAAGATTCGTACGCGGGAAACGAGGTCGGGCAGAACAAGCGTTCACGTAAGCACGTTTCGTTATTTCCTTATTGAGCCTCGAAGACTTTCCAGTAATACGCTTTTTCACGTCCGTAATTGCTTAATAAAACCTTAACTGCCTTGTTTGGCCCCCCGATTCTTACGAGTCGGCACGTGAAAAGAGAGAAAAAAAAAAAACCAATGTTCGTCGAATTCTGCGTAATGATCGGCACGACGACATCCTCGCGATTTTACGTAAGTCGCCATTGATGCCACGTCTCTGACAGCGGTCAGAGTGAAAAAAAGAATCCCAAGAACGAGTAGAATTCGTGTCTCGGGGGACTTCTCTTTGTTAGAGGCAGTGAAAGGGCAACGTTGCAACGCCACTCTCAGAACCTGGTGTCTCGCCCACGCGCATCGATGCGCGGCCCAACGTGTAAGCAATTAGACGGTGCAACACGCGAATAAAAGCGACCGGTAGAATGCTCACACCTTGCCCGCATACCAACCGCAGCGAATTAAACGACAGAGACGCACGCGGACTTTCAGACGAACTGAAACTGAATTCCTGGAGATGAGATCGAAATTTCAACACTGCGGCTACCTTCGGCGATTCGGAATGCTCTTGTGATTCAAATCTTCTCGTGACACTGTCAGAAATACGCGAACGTTCATTAGTTTGTGTATCACATGGAGATCACGTCGGGGTCATCAATTTACGTGGAGGTTTGCCCCATTTTAATAAATATATCACGAGGATTAACAAGAAACCACAACTACCGTTTATTTTAATTTGATGAACAACGAGATGTTTTAATGCCGACTTAATTTTTGCTTTGTTTGATTCTTAACAACTTGTATATGATATATTTATAATATTATATATTATAATATTAAATATAATAAATATATGTATAATATATTTATAATATTACATATTATATGTATAATATATTTCCCGCTATTTTATTTTCTCCTCTCTTCTTTTGCAATCGACGTCGTTGCTGTTAAGCTCGTTTCAAAAATGCGCGCGCCGCCACAAAGATACACACTGTTCGAAAAGAAACGCAATTACTTTTCGGACAATCCAATGCAACGAATCATCCACTCGCCAACTAATTACCTCGCCTAGTAAAGGTACCTTGCTTTACGAATTCCTGGACAAGTTCGCCGCGTGAAAAATCAGACTGCAGTTTGAAAGAGACGAGAGTGACGGGTGAACGGTTGCGTTCAATCCGCCACCACGAGTCCCATAAACGCAACAGTATCAATCAACAACCCAACACCTAGCGTAGACGTTATCTTCGAATCAGCCGAGTCATTTAGGAATTCATTACACGCGCTCGCGCGCCAGACATTTCCATCAAGCGCTTGTATCCGTTATCGCGTTCCGCGCCGCGCCTAACATCGATACCGACTACTTTTTCTCCGCCGGTAGAAAGAACCGCCATAAATAACGACGATAATAGAGTCGCAGAGGCGGGTGAAAATCAGCACGAATCAGCTTGACAGTCGAGTGGTGGCGGCCGTGCGGATACGGATCGCGAAAAACCACGTTTCCCACGTGGCGATCGCGAGGAAAAGTTTGCACAATCCAGCCAGCGGGGAATGCGGGTTAATTAAGCCGAGAACGCGAACGCGTGTCGCGTGCCTTTGCGTTCCCTTGCGTGTTCATTGAACAACACTTGAGCGATAGAAACTGGCTTGGGATCTTGTAGGCTCGCTTGTGGATTCCAACGAAAAGCAGCTGGAGAATGGGCAACAGGACTTGTCGAGATATACACTTCGAAATATACCGTTGTATCGGAGGAAACTGACGAAGAATGTTAGAAATAAGTTTCTGACGTGAAATGTTTGTGGAAATATTGATGTTTGAAGCGATTGGATGTAGATAACAACTGGAAGAACATCGTACAGAGCATTTCAAGTAGTAAAGGTAAACCGATAGGTCGACAAGCTTCCTCTTTTGAGATTTATACGATTTTTTCGCATGTGTTACGTATCGAAGTGGAGAATGTTAATGAATGTATTGCAAAACTGATTGTTTAAACTTATTCAGAGGTGAG